AAACAGGTTGGTCTCATATATATATATATATATATGTGTGTGTGTGTGTGTGTGTGTGTGTGTGTGTGTGTGTGTATGGGGAGGATCAAAAGAGAACATAGTTAAAATACAAAAACATGATTTTGCACTGAAATCATATGTGATTATGGAACATAGTGAATGCAAATGTGTGCAGACGATTTAGCCTACAACCTAGGTTGCGGCCAAGGTCATGTATAATCACAATGTGAGAGCATCTCCAACTGATTCTCCAAAATTTCTTCAAAATGGAAAAACCAAAAGTCAAAATCTCTAAAAAAAACTACATTTTTCTCCAACAGATTTCTCATTTTAGAAAATCCAACATTGATTATAATATTAAAATATTATTTATCTCTCTATATATATTCTCAAAGTTTCATATTAGTGCTCTCACTTGGTAATCATTTTTGGAGTGATCTTTCATATTTGGAGAAAAAACTATTCTCTCTCTCTCTTGCTTTCTCCATTTGAAGAAGTTGGTGAAACAAAATATAGGCTCAAAATCCTCATTTTAAAAAAGCTCTTGAAGATGCTCTGATTTCACATGTGAATTTAGTGGAAAATCACATATGACTTCACCGATTCTTTAGTTCTCTTATTTGGTTACGGTTTTCGTTTGAACCGCGCGCTCTCTCTTGTGTGTGTGTGTATATATATATATAAATAAGGGACTAAGAACTAGAAGAATATAAAAACACAGTTAGAAACATTTGTATGTAGCTTAGAAGATGCTAAGTTTTGACCATGTATACACAGCAACAAGTAGACCTTTTTAGGCTCTATATTACATTCAAATAAACCCACTCTAAAAACCTATAATTTAACCTCATACAACATCAACTACTTCTACAAGGTTATTACTTTACATTTCAACACCATTTTCACCTCTATTAAGCACCAAGAAACTTCCCCTATGGTTACTGCACAGCCTCTGCAACCCCATCCAGCCATAAAACCACCTCTTCTATTGATGGCCTCCTCCTTGGATCTTGATCTAAACATTTGCAAGCAATCCCCAAAACTTCCAGCAATTCCTTCTCACAACTCTTTTCCCATATCGATATATCGAAAATCTCTGCATATCTCCCTTCAAGTTTCATCTGAAACACCCACGACACCAGATCCCGGCAGTTCTTTCCCTTCACGACTTCCACCGGCCGTCTGCTGGTGATGAGTTCAAGAACAACGACTCCAAAACTGTAAACATCACCCTTAAAAGTTGCGGAAAGTGTCTGACCGTATTCAGGCGGGATGTACCCCAATGTGCCCACCAAGTCCGTTGTTACATGGGTATCGTACGGGCATAGCAATCTTGCTAGCCCGAAATCGGCTAGATGAGCCTTGAATCGCTCATCCAACAGAATGTTACTTGTTTTGATGTCGCGGTGGATTATGTTTGGCTCGTTGTGGAGGTACGCTAATCCGTGTGCGGCGCCTTTTGCAATCTTTAATCTCGTTCGCCATTTTAGTGGCGGTTCGTCATCGACCCTTTCGTGTAACCAATAATCCAAACTTCCGTTTTCCATGTACGAGTAGATTAAAAGCCGATCGTTGCCGTGTTTGCAATACCCTTTTAGGGAAACGAGGTTCTTGTGCTGAGCTCTCGAGAGGGCTTCGACTTCGGCTTGAAATTCGCGTTCCATTTGCCCACAATCGCCAGAAAGTCTCTTGATTGCGGCTTTTGAACCATTAGGAAGCTCGGCTCTATAAACGAGTCCAAACCCTCCACATCCTATTATGTTGGATTGACTGAAATTGTTCGTTGCTTCCACTACGTCTAAAACTGTGAGGTCCCTGTAACCGGAGCTCTGGAAAAGAACGAGCTTTGATGCGGCAAACCCGCCGGAAAATCCATTCGTCCTGCTGTTATCCTCCTCCTCCAAATCCCCTAAATCCCCATGTTTCCTTCTTGACATTTTAAGAAGAATGCATGCTAACAAAATCGCAATTCCAGCTCCTATGCCGAGTGTGATTCCAAATACATCATTTCGTCCCAATTTTCTATCTGAATTCGATTGAAGAGATGGACGACGACCGTTAACACTGCAAGGAGAAAGGATTTTCCCACAAAGTCCAGGATTACCTTCAAAACTTGAGCTCGGAAAGCCCGAGAACTGAGTTCCTGAAGGAATAGCACCCTGCAAGTGATTATTTGCTACAGAAAACATGGAAAGAAAAGTGAGCTTGTTTAATGAAGCCGGGATCGATCCATGAAGATTGTTTGATGACAAATCCAAAACTTCCAAATTTCCCATTTCAGAAATGGAGTTAGGGATGATCCCACTCAAGTTGTTCTTGCTCAAATCCAACAAATGAAGCTGTCTTAATTTCCCAAAATCTGGTAAGATCGTTCCGGTTATTTTGTTGTGGCTGAGGCATATCGACGGCGGAAAGCTTGCAACTTGATTGTACTGAAGACCTCTAGCACTTAGATTTCTCTTAACGTACAGCGGAATGCCAGTAGATGAGCTAAGAATCGAAGAACTGATGTTTGAAGAAACGAGGCTCTTCAAGTCTGTTAAACTCTTGGGGAGTTCCCCACTGAGCGAATTATTGGAGAAATCCAAGTAAAACAGCCTCTCCAACTGACCAATCCAAGAAGGGATAACTCCATCCAAACGGTTCCAAGATAAATCGAGAACTTCTAGTTTAGGACAGCCGAGTAACCAAGCTGGGATTTGGCCTTTGAGGGCACAATTTGCGATTGCAAGAACCATTAACCGTTCAAACCCGCTCACATCAACTGGAAGTTCTTCCCCGTGAAAGTTTTTAGTGAGAATAAGAGTGGTGAGATTCTTGCAGTTATGTAGAACAGATAAAGCCAGAGGTAAGTTGGTGAAGCCATTGTTTGAGAATGAAAGAAACGAAAGGTTTGAAAGGTTCATGTAGCTAATCGGGATTTCTCCATACAATTTGTTCTTGGCAAGATTCAAGATTCTCAGTTCATGACAATTAGAAAGTGAGTTCGGCAACAGACCCTTAAAATGGTTACTAGCAAGATCAAGGGTGCATAGATTACGCAATTTGGAGAAATCAGCACTTAGGGAACCCGACAGTGAATTGTTACGGAGATCAAGAATCCGTAAGTTAGAGCATGCTTCTATGGTGGAAGGAAATCGCCCTGAGAATGAATTCGTATGTGCAATAATCTGTTCTATATGTGTTAAGTTATCGAATACATTTGGAAGTGGACCTACAAACCGATTCTCAAATACAACCAAGGATTCGAGGTTGGAGAGCTTACCAAGTTTCGTGCTTAGTTGCCCGGAGAAGTTGTTCGAAGAAAGCGATAGCCATTTCAGGGATGACATTGAGTACACAAACTCCGGGAGAACGCCTGAAAGCGAATTCGAATCCAGATGCAGTTCATGAAGAGATTTGCCACAGTTCCTTAACCCTTCAAGATTGCCAGTGAAATGATTCATTGATAGATCAAGAACTCGAAGGTTCATCGAGGATGCACAAACTTGTGGATAAAGTTCACCAGAAAAGGAATTGTTGCTCACATTGAACACAATGAGATTAGGGAATCCCCCAATATCCAACATGTTCCCATTTAAAGAGTTGCTTGACACATTAAGAACTTCAAGATTCTTCAAATTGGAGAGATTTTTGGGCAATTCTCCTTCCAAGTGGTTAAAGGAAAGATCAAGATACCTCAATTTCTGTAAATGAGACAGAGAATTTGAAATCACTCCCCTTAGACCTTTTGCAGATAAGCTCAGCATGGTCACTCTGCTTGGGATTTTTGACAGATTTTTGGCATCATTTTCACAAATAACACCATCCCAATTACAGCATTTGGAATCACTGGACCAAGATGAAAGTATAGACCCATTTGTGAACCTTCCAGCAAATTCCTTCAGAGCTAACAGATCAACTGGATGGCACGCTTGGCTTAGGGTTTCAGTACTCAAAGATAAACAGAAGAGGAAAGCTAGCAATACCCAACTGAAGGAACTCATTGAAGGAACAAACTTCAGCATCCCCTTCTGACCTTAGTCAAAACCCCAAGTCTCCAACACCTTCACCATGAACTTGATCAATTGTACCAAATAATTTGGTTAAGCTACTTGCTTTTTCAGAACAGTTCCAAATTGGAATTCCCTAAGATATGAAATGCCTGATCTAGCAAGAGAGGAAGAAATCAAGAAACTAGAGACCCAAAAAAGGATCAAATCTCTAAACAATAAGATCAAACTGCAAAAAGCAACTGGTTCACACCAAGAATGGCAAAATGCACAGAGTGGTCTTGAGAGTGAGAGAGAGAGAGAGAGAGAGAGAGAGAGAGAGAGAGAGAACTAGAAACCCAAATCCCAAAACCTCAAAGACATAAAAAGGAAAATAGAAGCCTGAGCATTAAAAGAAATCTTGTAAATGAAGCAAACCACAAAACACTCAATGACACATGCAACTCTTTAATGATTTAAAATCTCCAGGTAAACGAAAGGAAGGCCTTTAATTGATTCTCGAAACAGACCCACAACAAATTGATGAAAAGAAGCCCTAATTCCTAAATGAAAGAAAGCAAAAAACCCTTGAAAGAGAGTAGAATTACAGTACCCGTCAGAGTCGATCACTTGTAAATGAAGCAACAAAAGCAGACAGCAATTATGTGTTGTCTTTTTATCAAACAGGTGATGGGCATTTCAAAGTTACTAGCTGAAGGTAATCCTTTTCCTTGTTTTTCGCTAGAAATCACAGGATCAAGTTACAGATTAAAGGGTGTAAGAAGAAGGGAAAGGGTAAAAGGATTGAATGGAGATTTAAAATCAAAATAGTAAAGACGGAAAACTGTAGAAGTGGTTAGATCTTGACACCAGTCACGCACGCACCTTGGTTTGACTTTTGCTTGGATTTGTGGCAAGATTTTCTTTCGTCCTATCCCTTTTTTCAAAGTTTCAAACCTCTCGCCTGCCTCACTAATTTTTAGTCAATATTTTAAATTATTTTACAAATTAAAATATTTAATTTGATTCTTATTTTAGATAATATATCTTAAAAACTTTTATTTTGATATCTAAGATGTAAAGTTTTAAGCATTTAAGTATATGGGTAATCGGTTGAAGCATTAACCGATTACGATGTTGATATGGCGAGTGATATGGTATACAACTCAGTATTATTTACTAATATGGATATCTTAATCTAAAATTAGTTTTCATGTATTGTGGTTTATTAGAAGAAAGAGCTAATTTTTTAACCAATTACTCGGGTATTTAAATGTTTAAAATTTTACATATTAGGTAATAAAATAGAAGTTTCAAAAGTACGTTATCCAAAATAGAAATCAAATTAAAATACGATATTTTTTCATGCAATTTGCCATGTTCAATAAAAGTCAATTCCAACTAAACATTAAAAACCATCTTTAATTTTACAATAATAATAAATATCTTAACGTATTTAATCTATATATATATATATATATATATATGGTATATTTCAAATGCAACCAAGTCCATTTGTACAACCAATGCAACCCAATTAATTGGAATATTTATAGAAATGATAAGAATTCATTTATTATGCTTTGAATATTTATGGAAGATGAATAGGGTTCATTAATTATGATCAATATTTTATATTAGTAAACAATCAAAACTTCTATGAAATAACATATTCATCAAATTAAATGGATGGTTAAGATTGGGTTGTATTGGTTATATATATATATAACTTGATATTATATTAATATATATTTATAAAAACCTACATTATTTACCTTCAAATATAGAGACCAACATTTTTTTAGTGTTTTATGTTGAGTTGGAGATGGTTTTAGAACATCTTCAACAACTTCTCTAAAACATAGAAAATCAACTTTTTTGTTTTATATATATATATATATATATATATATATAACTTGATATTATATTAATATATATTTATAAAAACCTACATTATTTACCTTCAAATATAGAGACCAACATTTTTTTAATGTTTTATGTTGGGTTGGAGATGGTTTTAGAACACCTTAAACAACTTCTCTAAAACATAGAAAATCAACTTTTTTGTTTTTTATAATGCTTCAACGAATTCTCTATCTTACGGTATTTCTAACAACTATATTATAGTTTCTCTAAAATAAAGTATTAAAAGTCAAAATCTCTAAAAAAATTTACATTCAACTCCAACCGTTTCTTTATTTTAACTATCTTAATATTAATTATATTATTAAAATATTCAATATATTTGATAAAATATTATTTATTTCTCTTAAACATTGATTTTTAATATCTTTTACTGGTGCAAAGTATTAAAATAGTAATTCCTCCTTCTATGAAGAGATTCCTTTTAAATTTATATATTTTTTTAAAAATGTACTGGGATCATAAATTATATAATATTTTAATAATATAATTAATGATAAATCTCTAAGATATGAAATCCATTGGAGTTGAATGTAATTTAATTTAGAGATTTTGACATTTGGTTTTCTATATTAGAAAAAATTATAGAGAATCTGTTAGAGATGCTCTTATTTTTCCATTAATTCCTATATGTATAAAGTTGTTTGTATAGATTAATTTATCTGTACAAATTAGAACGATTTTTGTTTGGAGTGGTTTTTTTTATAGAGGAAGGGATTGTATTTTTTAATTGAGAGAAACATGTTCATAAAAAACTTGTTTTTCTGCATAAATCATACTGAATAATTCAATTTCTATATCATTAAGTCATTATCAAACAGTCATGTATAAGTAACCAAAAAAGTTATACGTCACATTAAACGCATTAAACTGCTAACAAATGGACCTTTAACTATTAAATTTTATTTTTGAATTAAAAGTTTAAAAATGAATTAATATTTTGAGAAATTGTAAGAAAAATTTATAATCGGTTTATTCACTTGCATATTATTCATACATTTATTTCAAATTAGAAAATATTGCATACAGATATAAATAAAATCTAATATCATAAAATACTATTAATTAATTATACATATATATATATATATCTATACTATATTATAAAGCATTTGGCTAAAACTCTTAAAAACTCTTAAACTCTTAAAACTCTTAAACCCGTTCAT